CACATGTGTGTGTGTGTGTGTGTGTGTGTGTGTGTGTGTGTCCACGCGTGAGGTCAAATGTGTACGCGTTTTTGTCTACTCCTTAGATGGCTTAAAATCTCTCTGTTCACACTTCTTTAACTTTAATCCCTAAAAAAAGAACGCATAACATTCATAAAACAAACCCCCTTTGCCCGGCCAAACAAAATAAAGCATATCTCCCTGACTCCCACGTGAACAATGGCGTTAGGCCAAGCTTGCTTAAAAGGCTTTACAAACAGTATCTCTCAAACATCACACTCACAGATAACGACAGGACTGGGGAGGGGATAAGCAACGGAGGAGCAGCCTCGAACGACCAATCTATTGTTGAATTTCCCTTTGAACGTTGATTTTCTGACACCCTTCGAACGACAAAGTCAGGAGTAGTCGAAATGCCCTTTAGATATTTGTTATTGCACTCGATACCGGTTGAAAAGTGAAAAGAAACTTAATCTGTTTAAAAACTAAATTCAAAACAGGGATGGACACGTTTAAAATTATTCAGAAACGGGAGAACTTGCTTGCTGTATCAAGGCAAAGTGTCGGTTCTCTGCCAAGCACTCTAAATTCAAGTATTTCAAGCATTGATTACAAAAAACGTTTTGTTCGAAGGAAGCCGCTACTTCGTCGTTCGAAAGACCCTATGGGCATAACTTCGTCGCTCTGAGATTTACCCAGGCAGCGATGACCTCCTGGGTGACGAAAACAGCCAATATATTGTATTTTATTGCATGGGCATACAAATGAATATTCAACTGTGAACTTCAGAAACTAAGAGATATAATCAGCATCGACGCGCAGAATTTGAGGTAACGGTATTCTTGGATTCACAAAGGCAAAAAAAAAAAAACGTTTATCTATACAGTGAGGATTTCATACATGCAGTTCTTAATACGGACCAATATTTGGACATGCTACATTTACTACTGGTGGTATAGAGTTAACGCCGTTTTCAAAACTATTAAATTATTGAAGCGCATCCATCAAAACTATTAGGTTATTGAAGAGGTGGACGTTACTTCTGAACAGCAATTTTCTTGATGAATACGCATCCCGACACCCTCTGTCCCTTTTTCCCCGTTTCTGTGCTGATAAGGGCCATTATATTTTATCAATACGGTCAGCTAAAAGGTCGACTACAGCAATTACCTAGTCTCCTCCACTTGCAGGCGGGCGGGAGAGGGCTGCTGAGGTCGCCCTCGGTCAGGCACCGCTTCCGGCGTCCCAGATGGCGCTTCCAGTCTGCCATGGCCGAACAGCTGCTCGTCCGGAAACCGTGCTGTCTGCTGGTCCGGACGCTACAACCTCCGTAGGTCAGATAGGTAGTAGGGGCGGGGCGTTTTCCGACCGCGGGGTCGGGGGGCGTTGACCGCCCACACGCGCCCTCATCATAAATAGCCCTGATGAACATGGCCGTACTGCCAGAAACCACGGCAGAGGGGGCTGAGGTCTAAGAACCTGAGCTATGATCCTCAGCGAATTCCAACTCACACACGCCAGCGTAAATGCTACGATAAAACATGTTCATGTACAAACAAATGGATGGAGAAGTCCACGGTGGCACTTCAATAATCTCGTTGAGGGTGTCTTGTTCCTCCTTAACGAATGACAAACAGTTCACACAGTCAAGTCGGGGCGGAAATTTGAACACTCATCCATCCTTTAGTGCGAAATTCACAGCTGAATTTCTTATTTTTAAAGTGTGTACGTATGTGGAAAAATGGAAAGATTCCTAACAGTAAGAAAGGGATGAAAAAGTACGGTATGATCCATTCGCCTCAGCCACTAAACCCTGAAAACTTGAAAAAACGGTTCAACAATCTTGAATCCAGGCCACGTGTTCGACAATCAAGGGTCGAGCAAACGAACTTATTTAGGATTTTGAATCCTTAGTAAGTATGCCGTCTGTGCCACATTTTTTTCTGTAAAGTTCAGCATACATAATCACTGGGGCATGATCAATACAAAAACGTCAGCTTGGCGTCAATAAAGATCAGAAACATCCGCCTCAGTACAAGCTCATTAAAACTGTAGTTTTTCACTTAATCTATTTGGAAAACAGATAAAATATATGCAGGTCTGCGTATCCATTCTGCTGAATACTATCCAAAACACACGTCTAATCTATGCATGGTTTTACCATTCACAACTATACACTGTTTGTCTAACATCTATTCACTGTACACCACTCACATCTATTCACAGTTTACCATCCACAGCCTTTAGAACAAGAACAGAAAGCGCATCGATAACATAATCGAATTCTAAGTCGGCATCTCCACCGGTAATCCAAAAAAGAATGTTAAACACTCACTCCCATACCGCAGAGACAGAACGCGAAATGGCAAATTAGTAGAGAGACAGCATGTGTCGTGAAATTCAACCCAGAAAAAGGGGAAGGGGGGGGAAGGGGACAAAAATGTCACTCTGAAAGTGCAACTCCGGTACAGAAAAAAAAAATTTCCAAACCAGTCTCATTGAAGAAAAGAAAGAACAGGAAGGCGAGAGGAAAGTTGTGGAGTAAACAGCGCGATCGTTCTATCTAAAATCCTGGTCTCCCCCGCAACCTGCGCTCTCACACGTCGGGCAGGCGATTGCAACACGAAGCCAGGTACACAACATGTTGCTAGCACGCTCCAGGAATAGGCGGAGCAGAGCGGAGATCCCCATCCTAGTTCAACGTCCTCGCGATAGTTTACGGACTAGAAGACTTCAAGTCACAACACATCATAGGTAACGTCAACGGCACTCGCAGACCGCGGCCCAGCATCAGGACAGACCGGCTGAGCTAACTGAAGTTCCCATTCGCAGACTGTATTGAAGAAACGGGACCTTTTTTTTCTATACTTCCAACACTTGAGTAGAGAAGTATTAAATCAATTATTTTTTTAAAGGTGAAATAAACCGATAGTGTAACCCAAGCAAAATTGAACAAGGAAGTAGTAAACAAACGTATTTCTTGAACAAAAATTAGGAGGTCCAGGAAGAGGGATAGGGAAAGAAGGGGGGGGGGCAGACAAACAGGCAGACAGACAGACA